ACACATTATTTTCATTATAGGTCTTATGGGAGTACAGAAACAGGTTTCAAGGTGTCGGGCTTTTTTTCGGCTTGACCGGGTCTTGAGGGTTCCTGGCTCAGCAGTCAAGGGGAGTAAAGGCACAGGTAATTCAGAACCTAACCCCAACCCCTGATTAATAAACCCCCTCCCCTTAATAGGGATTATAATGGGGATCCTAACATTTTGGCCCTTAAAAGGAGGGGGTTTATTAATCATGGGTCTACATTAGCTGTGTATAAACTGGGAGCATGTACCCTCACAATCTAGTCATCTGCTAGAGGCTTAGGAAGTACTTCGCGTGCCTGCTTTGATTCTTGCTTGCCACTCATGATTTATATGATGCTTTTCCGTGATCGCGCAAAATTTGAAGGTGTTGAGGTACTGCAATCCAATGAGATTACACCTGGTCGCGGGTATCTGAAGCCATCATACGACTGATGCTGAACATCCTGCATGACCCTGACGACCTTCTACCTCGGGAACTCTCATTTCGTACTACGCCCTAAACCCCTAAACCCCCAAACCCTAAACCCTTAAACCCTAAACCCTAACTCCTTAAACCCTTAAACCCTTAAACCCTAAACCCTAAACCCTTAAACCCTTAAACCCTTAAACCCTAAACCCTAAACGCACGTGTCAACAGTTCCTTTGCAGCTGCCCAGCTTCTGTGCCATCTAGACCTGGGACATGCCCAAGTTTCTTGAAGTGCTCACTATGCCCCAAAACCTCTGCCAAAAGCCCTTATCCCAAAAACTCAAATCCTGAATACTACATCCTCAAATTCCAGTCCCAAAGCTATAATCCCTCAACCTTACTTCCCAAGCTTTAATCCTAATCCTTAAACCCCAAACCCTAGTCCTCAAACTATAAACCCCAAAGATATAATCCTCCCAACCTCCAATCCCCAACCTTAATCTCGAAACCCCAAAACCCTAAACCCCTATACCATAACCCCAATCCTCAACCTTAATGTCTAGACCCCAAAACCCTAAACCCCCAAACCCTAAACCCTAGCCCCACTAGACCCCAAAACCCTAAACCCCCAAACCCTAAACCCTAGCCCCAATCCCCAACCTGAATCTCTAAACCCCGATGCCCGCAACCCTGGGCAATTTAAAGCGACTTCACCCGACTTCACCGTACATGGTGGTGTATATAGGGAAGAGCAAGAAAACTGCCTTACCGGGGACTTGAAATTATTCTAAATTACCCGGATTTAGGCCGTGAACCCGAAATCCTGCATCCTAATCTACAATCCCTAAATCCTAACCCCTAAGCCTAAGCCTTATAACTCCTTATCCCTAAATCCGACATCGTAATCCGTAAAACCCCTATACTAAATCCCTGTAATCACGAAAATTGAAAATTCCTAAAGCCCGGTCAATTTCTTACTGGTCGTGATATAGGGAATGACATAATGTGATTACATCCTCCCTTTACAATGTATTCCCTTCCTTCCTACTAACCCTAAACCCTAAACCCTAGATGTATATCTGCCCTTATTCCCTACTAGCCCTAACGCCATCTTCCCTTCTTCCTTACTAACCCCATACCCTAAACCCTAAAATGCTAAACCCTGAACCCTACACCCTGAACCCTAAATTCTAAACCCTAACCCTAAAACCTGAACTCTAAGGTTCAGGAGTTCTTGACGAGCCGGCTCAACTTGGCATGGGAGTGCGTCGAGTCGACATTCCGCGACTGTGGCCAGGAGAAAGCCCAATATCCCTTAAATTGGGAATATAACTTTAGGTTCAGCGTTTGGGTTTTAGGGGTTAAAGTTGAGGGTGTAGGGTGTAGGATTCAGGGTTTAGGAGTTTAGGGTTTAGAGGGTTTAGGGATTATGGCCCAATATTCCTTCATTGGGGAATAAAACTTAAATAGCACGAGGATCCCGAATATGTTTTCAGGTATATATACTCTAATTAAGGGGTATTGGGCTTTGATTGAAAGTAGGTTTTGGGAGTTGAGGTTTCCGGTTTTCGGCATGAGAGTTCAGGGTTTAGTTCCGGACCAGGGTTTTTAGAGATTAGGTTCTGGGGATGAGGGATTTGGATTTCGGGTAGAGGGATTACGATTTATTCTGGCTTTCGGGTTTGAGGTCTAGAGTCTGAAAGCGTCCTTGCTTGGTTAGTAGGATGATTGAGTACGCCCCGGAGGAATAGGGCGGTCCCGTCTATCCCCAGTGTTAACCGACTTAGAAAGGCCTCCGTGACCCGGCAAGTAGGGCCTCAGGGCCATGTTGAGGGCGTCATGGAGGTAGATTTGGATTTCTACGGGGTTTAAGGGTACAGGTGTAGGGATAGCGCTTAAGAGGCTATGGTTAGAGATCAAGTCTTAGAGCTTATAGGTACCATAACCCTAAGGGTCCAAGGACCCAAATAATAGGGTTTTAGGGCCCAAATACTAAAATAGTAATGGTATTTTGGCCCTAGAGCCCTATTATTTGGGTCCTTGGACCCTTAGGGTAGGGGTCGTGAGATTGAAGGATTGAAGGTTAGGGTGTAGAGACTTGGATTTCTGGACTAGGGTGCCTTAAGCCCTGGATCCTAAACCCTACCTAAACCTTAAAAGTATGTAGAATAATAGCCTTTTGGGCTGGTTTTATGGGTTTTGGGCTATTATTCTACCTACTCTTGGGGTCCAGGTAAGCCAAAAACCGCGATTTAGGGATTTGAGTTTAGGGTGCAGGTCTCATGGTAGCTTAAAAGCCTTGTGGTGCCGTCGGGATCGGAGTCTGTTTTGCGACGTTGGGAACTCAGGTCGCAGCTGTGGTTTCGGAAGTGCAAGGGCTTTAGGTCCCAAATACCATTCAGATTACAGTGTTGGGGATCTGAACCCTAAACCCTAAGTTCTAAACCTGAAAGCCCAGTATTAGGGTACTTGGACCCCTAGGGACTGTAGGACTGAAAGTTTGGATAATAGGGTTTATCGTGTAGTGACGAAGTTATCGGTCACGCAGCTTAGGTTAGATTGCAGACTGCCTAAATTCCAAAAATATGTAGAACAATAGCCCTGTGGGTTGTTTTTAGGGGTTGTTGCACCTATCTTACCCACTTTTAGGGTCCAGGTAGGGCTTAGGATTGAGCATTTCCCCAAAGAATTTAAGGTTATGAAACCCTAAACCCTAAACCCTAAACCCTATGATTTGATGTGCATACTCCACCATGTGCCACCCTCAAGCGCAAGCCTGCGCGATCCCCATAATTCCCTGACAAACGTCTCCCCTAAGAAGTCCAAGGACCCAAATCATAGGGTTTCAGGGCACAAATACCGTTAATATTATAGTATTTGGGCCCGAAAACCCTAGTATTTGGGTCCTTGGACCCTTAGGGCTCTTTTTCCAGATGCCTTAGCGACATTCCAGGTACCCCTCGTTCTTCCAAAAACCCTGACATCGCATTTGAATCATCTTAGCCTTGCAAAGTAAGCCCTGAACCACGATCCCCGGCCCCCTCCTCAGCCCTGAAACTAAAGCTTTAAGAACTACACCCTCAACCCTAAACCTTGAACCCTCAAACCCCAAACCTAAGCCCTATTCTCAGTCAGGTGACCTTGAACACTCCGTCCAGAGGACTGCATTATTGCTGATTTAGGTTTAAGGCTTTAAGGGCTTAGGGTTTTGGGTTGTAAGGTTTAAGGTCTATAGGCTTGAAGGGCAAGGGATACCTGAGCATAGTATGCATCAAAAGCGGAGTTCTTTTCTGGAGTGTTATAACCCTAAACCCTAATGTACTAGGACCCCACAGGATACGAAGTTCACCGGCGCAGCTGTCGATCGGCAGACAAGGCAGAATCCCCTCGCCGGTCCTTCAAGACTCTTGGCTCTCCAAACACGGCTTCGAAAAGAGGCACAGGTTTGGTATATGAGCTATAGTGGAAACTCCTTAAAGGGGGTTATATAAGGGATTTTATAGGGGACTATTATAGGGGTTATTAAGGGGGATACTAGGAGTTTAGACTATAGCTCATATGCGGGCTTCCCAGTTTGTCTTCGGAAACGATCCTTTTGGGGTATATGAGGGAGGATCTATTCGGAGTCCAACACAAGAGCCCGCAATCTTTGGAGAGCCTCCATGTAACTGGAGTGTCAGGAGGACTTAGTAAGTATGTGTAGAACCCCTTGAAGCCACATAGTGACCCCAGTTATCCCCATGATTAACCCCCTAAACCCTAAACCCCCTAAACCCCCTAAACCCCCTAAACCTAAGTCCCCAGAACCCTCTCTGTATGCTATGGACACTGGTTCTCCGGAGTGGGTTGCTTGGGTTGCGGGCTCAGGGTTTAGGGTCAGGGTTTAGGGTCAGGAGTTGATAGCAGGATTTTGTTGTGGCCTGGCGAACAGTTTTTGGGCTTCAGGGTTTTTGGGTAACCGTGTTGAGAACTCAGTCAGGACGCATATGTAGCCCCAAACCCCGGGACTGTGAGCTCAACTCTATTCAGAATCCTCAAATCTCAAGACTCTAACCCCCATCAGGACCCCCCAACTACCCTTACTTGAGGTCTATGTACCTAGACCCTCCTCCTACCCTCTATTGGGGCCTAAGTACCCATTATTAGGGACCATCTATCCCCAATTAAGGGTACAAGAAGGGTCCTGGTAGGTGCAACTTGTGGTGTTTAGGCGGGTTTAGGGTTTAGGGTTTCAAGAACCCTAAACCTTTGAAGCTTACTGCGGGGAAGCTTTTGGCGCTAATATGGGGGGTGCTGCTGTAGGGAAACCCTAGAACTAAAGGCGTTGAGGGTTTAAGGTTCAGGTGTAGGGTTCAGGCCTGCAGACCCCAAACCCTCAGCCCTCGAACCTCTAGCTTAAGACCAAAGATTCTAGACCTAATACACTATCCTCTCAGTTGTACGTAGTTACTAGGTCTCATGGCCTCCAATTAGACCCTAAGCCGTCAGCCCTCGTATCCTATAATTTAAGCCCTAGACCTCTTAAGGAACTACATTCGACGTTCTGGGTAGACTGCCAGACCCAGGATATGCTCCAGTTCTTGGCCCAGTGGGAGGGCAAACTTGTTGCTTGTAGCAGCCGAGATCTTTACCGGACGTTGAGCTTCTCTGCTGGTAGAGTTTGGGGTTTAGGCCTTCTAGGTCTTTAATTAGGGCGATTATGGAGTCTATAATACTTGGTTTGGGGCTTGGTTCTAGGGTAAGTGCTTAATGAGGTCCATTCTAAATGGGGATACTATAGACTCCAATGCACTAGAACGGGACTATTCCCTCCCTTCCCTGTTTTTCAAGATGAGAATATTGTCTTAGTTGGCTCAACCACCAAACTGCGTATGTGAGGTGCAGAGATTAGGCTTTAGGGTTTTTAGGGAATATGCACTGAGCCAGGCAGTTCAGGGTTTAGGGTAGCTAAGGTTCCAGGGTCATACCCCTAAGGTCTCACCCCCCCAACAGCTTCCCCTGTATAAGCCATAGCGTAACGCCAATTATGCTCCCTATATAATCCTCCATATAACCCCCTTTAAGGAGTTTAGGCTATAGCTCATATGGCCCCAATGTAGCCCAGAAACATTTGTGCGCTGGTGGGCCGTCCTACCCCGCCTCTTCCCTCTCCCCTGTGGTGTGGTGTGGTAGTTCTTGGGTATTAATATATGAGGACTGACCTGGACCCCAACAATAGGTAGAATAATAGCCCAAACCCTTACAAAATAGACAAGAAGGCAATTATTCCACACATTTTTGGCGTTCACATATAGAAAAAACATAACATGGGAAAACTTGTAGAATGCTGGCTTTAGACCCATAAGCTTGACTCTGGGACCTGTATGTATATCCCCCCCGACTCTAGCACGATCTAGGCCTCTAGAGTAAACTCCTAAAAGGGTTTAGGGTCTAGGGTGTATATAGGGGTTTATATAGGGGAGTAGTATAGGGTTTAGGATTTAGGGCTTCGGGATTAGGGTTTAGGGTCTAAACTCCTTAGAGGGTTTATATAGGGGGTTATATGTGTGAGTATTATATGTTCACCTCATCCGTCCATTTAAGAGGCTTTCGTTCAATTTCTATTTTTTTGCACACTAGCCATGTGCTTGAAGCTGCCTCCGTCAGGGCACTGCTTAGCGTTTTGGGCTTGACTTCAACATGCACCCAGTATAGCAGGTGCCCTCAAATGGGGTCTATGTAGGTACTATTTGCAGGCAGTTGGGCTCTAAACCCTAAACCCTGCATATGAGCCTTACTATCCTTCATAGTCACGTGGGGGGTCCACCTCTCCATAGAGGTACTTGGGGAGTTGAAGACGTGGGAGTCTTGCGGCTGTTGGTTGGGACGCAAACACGTGAGAATAATGAACGACACCTCACCTGATTTCAGACCCGGGTTTAGGATTTAGGGTTTAGGGTTTAGAGTTTAGGGTTCAGGGTTTAGGGTTTACGCTACAAAGCTTGGATGCTGTGGATACTGGATGCTTCCAGATCCTAGGGTTTATATTCCACTCATTTCTCTTGTCATTAGCCCAGCGCTTGCAGCGTGAATATCACGTATCCCACCCCGTATACATCACAAATCCAAATTGCAATCAGAAATCCAAAGCCCTGAATGCTAGATGAACCGTATGTAATACAAGCCTGAAAGCTAGTTGTCATACTGTAAAACTCAGCCTGTAAGCCCCGCAAGACTCCTTCGGCATCACCGAAGCAGAACGTTGCCTTGCTGAAGCGAGACAACTACGTGCAAGGACTGGGTTTTCTAAAGCACACTAAACCCTAAACCACCCTTAACCCAAAACCCAAAACCCTAAATTCCAATTCTAAACTCTAAATCCTAAACCGCGGGTTTTGGGCTTCAAGGTTTGGGGTTTGGGCTTCAGGGTCAGGGCTTGCTGCTTAGGGCTCAGGGATTAGGATTGAGGGTTCGGAGTGTTTTTTTACGCAAGACCCCCCGCAGGGTTTAGGGGCTTAGGGTTTAGGGTTTGAGGGTTTAGGGGTTTAGGGTTTTAGGAGTTCTAAAGTAACCCACCCAATCATTGGGTACTGGGAGTCTTTGGGTAATGGTGTACTAGCCACAGATGGAACGGCGCATGCGCTTGTGGTCCACGTAAACATTTATGAAGGCTTTAATTCAGGGCTTCTGTTCCAAGACTTGGTTCAAATATCATGCTACGCAAGCCTCGAAACCCTAAACCTATCAACCCTAGACCCGGAGTTACGAATCTCCGGGTCCAGGAAACAACCACCAGCTGGATGAGATTTACGACCGCAAAAGGTCCATGACAGCCCCTCCCATCTCACAGCAAGCCAAACAACATCAGCCGTAATCTGAATTCCTTGAAGGGGATATATAAGGGATGATATAGGGAACTGCTATCGGGGTTATTCAGCGGATATTTAGACTATGGCTCATATCAACCTTAGTGCTGTTGAGGAACCGAAATGAGGTTACGTAATCAGAAAGCCAAATTCTTATGCATTCATGAAAACTCAACTTATTGGTTTCTACTAGTAGTAAGGAATGATGGAAATAATCCTTATACAATATGTGCCCTTATTCCCTCCTTACCCCCAGTAAGTAAAGGCTAAACCCTAAACCATTAACCCTAAACCCTTAACCCTAAACCCTAAACCCTAAACAGCAAGCCAGTAATCTCCACATCAGAGCCCAAGCCATGCAAGGCTCACTCTCTAGCCGAAGAAGACCGCATAATGTAGAAGCCTGCGTTATCATAGAATAGTTTTCCATAGCAGGATCCAATTGCTATGAGATATGATATACCCTCGAAATAACCGTTAAGAGAAAAAAAGAATCCCCCCCGAAACCGGTCTTAGGGTTCAGGGTTCCGTGCTTGACCTTTTGAGCACCTTGGTACAAGGCCGCTTCGGGTTTAGGATTTAGGGTTCAAAGTTTAGGGTGTTGAAGGTTCAGGTTTCAGGATTTAGGGTTGAGGGTTCAAGGAGTTTGACCGTCCGAGACAGATAACGAATTCTCACAGCACGCCTACATAGAAAAATGCACATGCATCTGAGTCATATGTGGTTTCCCCAACTTTGGGGTCCCTTTACACCTATCCCTAAAGGGTCTAAGGACCCAAATAAAATGCTTTTAGGGCCCAGCTACCATTAATATTATAGTATTTGGGCCCTAAAACCCTATTATTTGTGTCCTAGGACCCTTAGGGTATACCTCAAGGATTGTCCTTTGTATTGCCATGAAGAAAAATCATACCAGAAGATGGCATATTGTTGAAAGAGGAAGTCTTGCAATTAGCGCGTTACACAAAGTACTGTGACGTCCTGCATGTGAGCCTTGAGGTGGTCCTGCGGCTCACAAGCGCAAAGTCCTCCCTGCTTGTATGTCATCAACATAAGCTGTTTCTTCAAAAGTCTAAATACTTTGAGGGTTCTATCAAAAGATCCAAGTATGTTGCGGGATGATTGCATTCAGGAGCAGCCAAACTGCAGTTTCCCAAAGCTGTCCTTAGATAATCCTTCAGAGAGCCCGCAGGAGTTCTGCGGTGTTGTGCGATATGCCAGGGTCTCTGAGGGTATAGCCATGTTGAGATACATGCACATTTCAAGCATCAAGAGGAGCGTGGAAGAACAAACGCTTCAGCTTCAAGAAGGCCATTTTGTAGTCAGATTAGCAATGGACAGAATGGGGGATGTTGTGGTTTCAAGGGTTCATGGCATTGGGTTCCGAGTTTGAAGCACGTGAAGCTCTCAGACTGGTTCTTGTTGTACCCATTGAGGGTCGTCTAGGATTTGTGAAACCTCAATATCTTTTTGGGGGAGCTGTCATGTCTCCAGGGGCCAGAACAGCTAGAGCAAGGTTGTAGCGTGCATTCTACAGCATGCCGTGCAAGAGTTGTAGGTCAATACTTGGGGGGTCAGGGGGACTTAGTAAGTAGCTTAATAACCCCTATAACCCATATAGTAACCCTAAGTATCCCCATTATTAACCCACTTACTAAGTCCCCCTGACCCTCCAAGTAGTGTTGGTAGCTATTTGGGGTGCTTCGTGACCAACAGGATCCAAGTACCGACATAGCATATACTTGGCCTACAGGGTTCCCAACACGCCTACTTCGGGGCCTCAGTATATATATATATATAGCCCCCCTTAGGTAGATAGAATATGGGGTATATGGGGATCTGATCTTAAGGGTGACCAACATCTATAGGCACCTGGGCCCTAGGATCTGAACCATAGATCTGAAACCCTGACGCCTCTACCCTACACCCATGTTATACAGGTACGGGGACTTCAAATAATGAAACCTACGCTCCTACAGCAATTTCATCTAGATACCTGGACCGTTTGTGGTGGGATGTCTCCGGATTAAGTTTTAAGTTGCCAGGATTCGGGCTTTGGGATTCAGCGTTCTTTGGTTCGTTCCGTCTAGGGGTTTCTTGGACCCCCAAAGTATCTAGGATACTGGCCCTCCAGGGTTGCTTTATGGGTTGGGCGGCCATTATTCTAGCAATGTTGGAGTACTACACTTTAATACTTGTTTGGTTCCTGGGTTCTTATTATAAGAACTTATACCTTAAAAAAAGTCTACATTTTTTCTGGGTTGTACTACGCACTAGGGACTCATAGGTCCAGGTAGGTCCAGGTAGGTCCAGGTAGGGCTTGGTAGGGCTTAGGGTTTGGGTTTCCAGGACTGGGAGGAGGGTTGTGCGCCCGGAAGGAGCCGGGATTCTGCAGCCTCTGGGGTGCTTCAGGTTCAACCCAGATGAGCTATAATCTAACTCAGTTATTTACGGGGTTTAGGGTTTAGGGTTTAAGGGTTTAGGGTCTACGGGTCTAGGGTTTAGGAAGTATTATAGGGGTTACTACGGGACATACTAGTGGCTCATGCATTTCCAGCCTCAAAGGCTGCTGTAAGTGGCGCCAGATGAAATACATGGTTAGTGGCAATCCCGGTTCAAGAGGCTAACATCCAAAGGGGATTTCCGTAGATTTATGCTACTTCCGGTCCTGTAGTTGCGTTCCTATATTAATACATGTCCTTTAAGTTGTAAATTTCCACCACTTCCAGGCCACGTCCCAAAAAGAAACCGAGGCGGCCCACTTGTGACTACTTGGGCCCCAGGGTTATTTGGGATGATGGCCTTTTTGGGCTATTTTATTAAGGGGTCTTGGATGGTTTTGAACTATTCTTTACCAGCCATTGGGGTCCAGGTACTTGGGACTTGCATGGTAAAGCTCCGTTGCTTTCGGTTTAGGCATGCATCTGGGTGTTCAGCGCAAGGTCACGGTGGATTGGTTTATGATTTAGGGATATGGGGTTGTTGCAAAGGTTATAAAGGGCCACAATACGGCATAATGGGCTCAAGAGCGGTACTAATATACTACCTAACTCCAGGGTCCCTCAAAGTATAGGTTTGAGACACTCAACCCTGAGCCCTTAAACGCCGAGCCCTAAACCCTGACCCCAAGGGTTTCTATGGAGATCCTTTGGAGGTTTCTTATGGGCTTGGGGTAGGGGGCCGGAATATACTACCCGCGAAAACAATTGAATATGAGGCTTTAGACCTGATTTAGGTCACTACAATGAAGCAGGTTTCCAGAAAATCTGTAGACACGGTGAATGTCCCTTAGCTACGCTGCCAAGAGGTTGCCTCAGATCTCCCATCCAAAGATCAACCACATGTAGCAGTATGTGTGTGGAGTGCGCGAGACTACTGGCTGTCCTGCTTGCTGTCTTTCATCTGTAGCACGTAGCCATGCCTCCTGTACCAAATCCAAAAAGTATATGAAATACTGTTGGTTTGCATGTATGACTAAGCCGGACTCAAGCTTACCATACGTCACGGCAATCATGCACACTCCGTCATAGCTATTGTGGTCACTCGGGTGCCCCTTCAGATCAAGCCTCATAACTATTCTTTTCTTCGTCACTTGGTACTCTTCTAAAGGCCTGTTACACGGAGGGGTGTGAGTTTGCAAGCATCTCCTCAAGGCATGATGTTACCGACCTAACAGGTTCATTGGCGACAGTGCAGTATATCACTTTCCTTTGCCCTGGAAGCGCGGTCAGGATGCATGCAAGTGCAAACGAGCGCGTTTTGCCAGTACCACGCATCCCGGTTGCGAAGACAGACTTGCGGGGGCTACTGTGTCGGCATGGGCTAACAGAGTGATGACTGCAGCAGCGTGGCCATCTCTCGACCACGAGTCTTGCACAAATTGCCCGTTGAAGCCTAGATCTAGAAGCTGTGCTAGCCTGAGTGCATGGCAAAGCCCTTGTCCTTTGTTTTTCCCCAGTCCTGGCATTCCGTCTTGTAAGGCAGCTACGCTGCAGGGTCCCCGATGGAGTCTGGCGGGGCCTTTGCCTGACCCCCACCCCCAACCAACACGGAAAAATGATTGCTACCTCTTCAAGTCTCATCATATACGCATCTACTGCTGCATGATACCAGTTTTCGTTTTCGCTGTCCGGCGCATGTAGGAAGAGCTCGCAGCGACCATGTGCACAAGAACCTTCATCAACCCCAGGCACGCAGCCCAAGAACTCAAACCACTTACCCCAAAAAAACGAAACTTCTCTACAGGGAGAACTGGAGAATCGATAGGGTCCGGCCAAAAACATGGGCTTGCCTGGTTGTTGAAAAACAACGGAGGCCGTGGAAGACTTCTGCAAAGGGTGATGATCTCCGGCGGAAGCTGAATTGCATTACGCGGTCTTTGGGTCAGTGTCTTCCCGTGTTGCAACGCACCTTGGGTGATCAGGGCTTCGTGTACAGGACTTTGAATTGCTTGGTAGGCCTCTGGTGCATTTTTTATTTTCTTTGGGTGTGTTTGGGGATGCTACAGTGCCTCTGCATTAAGCTCACGCAGCTCAAGCATGTGCCCCAAAGCCCAAACACCTAAAAACCAAACTTTCAAACCTAAACCCCTGCATCCTTAATTCCTAAACCCTAAAACTTAGATCCTTCTAGAAACGACTTTGGACCTTAAACCCTGATTCTTGGACCCTAAACAGCTTGAACCTGAAACCCCAAGCTCCGCAACCTTAAACCCAAACCCCAAGCCTTAAAACCCCAATCCCAAATCCCAAACCTTAAGCTCTAAACCATAAACCCCAACATCCCAAACCCTAAGCTCTAAACCTAAAGTGCCCATCCTGGGGCGGCGTGCTGCGACACCCAGCCTGGAGCCCTGGCCAAGGATGGATCTTAAGTTTCGGGGTTCAGGGCTTAGGGGTTGGAAGCGTTTAACGGGTCGGGTGTTGAGCGCCCTTGACCCGCCCTTGACTGAGGTGCTGTGCGCCTCGGTCCTGGGCTCTAGTAGTCGGTCCCCGGTAGTCATAGGCTAAGAAGAGAATTTAATGGGTCGGGTGTTGAGCGCCCTTGACCCGGCTGTTCGTGTGGGTGGTTTTTGTTGGGTTTCAGGGTTCAGGGTTATTAAATACGCATCGTCTCAAATTTAACTGGAGTTCCATGCTTGGTTGTTTATCCGCTGGCTGTAGCCTAGTCCAGAACACCTTCCTCTAGGACTCTACGGCATACTGCAGGGTTCCAAGGTCTGTCTGTTACCAATACAATTCGCAGTGTAATTCGCATCATTCTATTTTCTTACCTCATTTCTTCTACCTTACGTCCAACTCTAGGCCCCACCCCGACTTTGAGCCCCCGAGCCCTGACCACTCAGCATTAATCCCCCTCATTTCCTTTCAGAGCCCAACACAAAGAACACTCACTGCTGCGGCAACCTTTAGAAAATGCCAAACCCCCTTAAACCCCCAAACCCTACATGCCTAAACCTTAAATCCTATAAGCCCCATATTCAGAACTCCAACTCTCTAGACTTTGGGATGTTAAGAGGGTTCGTTGTGCACTGCCCAGGCCTGCCAGGTATTCGGGGTTTCAATGATCGTCAAGTAAGCCAGGGGGGCCGCTATCATGTAGACAAGATAGTCAAGGAGCATATTTCTTTATGATTAGCTATCCTAGATGGGCTGAGCTACGAATGTCCTTTCTTACAGACTTTGGGAACTCCCAACTTCAAAGCCAGTTAATCTCAAGGGCTCCGCTATCCCATACGCCCAGGTTGGACCTCGGTGCATTGTGGCTTCTTTGATGATTGCCTGAGAGGGTTCAAATTTCCGGGTCTCGAGGTTATTTCGGGCGGGGTTTGGGCTTCAGGGCTTAGGGGAGAAGCCTGTTGCAAAAGGGATTTGCAGGGGTAGGGTTGATTATGCTGAGCCTGGCAAACCCCCTAAGCCTGCATTATCGCTGGGGTGCGTTTTGGGTGCGTTTTGGACCTGCTGGCATACCCTGGGGTGTGTGTGTGTGTGTGTTAGGTGCATTTCAGACCTTCTTTCAAGATCCTAAGCCTGGGATTCTCATTGGAGTGCATCTTGGGTGAAATTCTGTCTGAATTCTAGAATTGCCTGGAGAGTCTGGGAGTTTGTCACACTCATTCAAGGGGGTCCGGATTTCGGCGTCAGTTTCAGATCTTACGCCTCCAACCCTGAATCCTGAACCAGAGCTGTCATGCATCCTTATTTGAGGCAATCTTCTGGCTTTATGTTACATCCCAAGCCCAGCTCCAATCAAACTTCTGGCTTCATCCTACATCCGGGTTATCACAGGCTGAGCAGTTCAAGGCGTCTCAAGCCACATCCTAGCTGGGAATCTCATAGGTTCAGCCCTTCTAAGGCCTGGCGTATGCAATCCGCGGCCTAGCCTAGCCATTCCAATAGGTAGGGCACTCGTCTACTTAGCGCTCTGGGATGTCATTCCTGGCGTCAGCCTGACGCGCCCATCAACCTCCTGGGGATGTAAACAAGAATCTACTATTACCTGGGTCTTCGAATGCTACCTTTATTTCTGCCCCCCAGGCCTTTCGTCATCAAAATCTGAATCTCGAGCTAAGATAATGGTTTGATACTAAAACTGCTTGCCTCGAGCGCTTCTTGGGGATTCGAGC